TTAAGCTATCATAGAGTGCTTATAGACAAGCCGGAACGAAAGAGGAAGAGTGGCGTTACTTAGCGATAAAGGACTTTCGAAATAGAATATGGATGGACATTGCAGTCCCATTTGGCGGAGTAGCAGGATGCGGAACATTCAGGAAAGTAGCAGATGCATGCAGGTTGATAATCCAGAAGCGACTGAAGATCGACCGTATTTTCAGATGGGTAGACGACAATATGATAGTGAAGTTAGAAAAAGACAACCTGAAAATTGAAGATATAGTAGAGATCAGTAATCAGATGGGAGTGAAAACAAATCATGAAAAACTTAGAGAGTTCGCTGAAGAACAAAAATATTTAGGATTCATTTTTAACGGGGTAGATAAAACTGTAAGATTACCTGATGAGAAGTTGGCAGAAAGGTTGGAAGCTGTAGATAAGATGCTCAAGGAGGAAGGACCGTGGAGCCTAAAAGAAGCGGACTCCATCATAGGGAAAATCACACATCTCATGTATATAGTACCGCACATGAAACCCTATATGAGGGGTTTGTATGCGTGGTTGAATCCTTGGCAGAAGACTAACGCGAGAAGATTTCTGTCAAGAGCTGCGCGGAACGATCTCAAAAGTTGGAGTGAAGCACTGTCGACGTTCGAACCCAGAAGAATAGTCCCAGCACTCATACCAGAGCGAGTAGGTTGGGTAGGAGATGCAAGTGGAGTTGGAATCGGGGTAATTTTAGAATTCGGATGGACGAGGTACAAGCTAAAGGAAAACTGGCAAACGAGAGGATTGGCGGAAGACGAAACACGTCGCGACATTGCATGGGCCGAAACGGCAGCGATAAGGTTGGGATTGTTGATGTTAGAAGTTTCGACGGATGTAAGGGGTAGGAAGTTTTGGGTGAAGACGGACAATACTACCACAGAATCGACCATAAACAAAAGAAGATCAAAGAGTGAACAAGTTAACGAAGAGTGGAAAAATATCCAACACTTACTACTTCGACTACAGTGCGACATCGCGGAGGAGAGGGTGAATTCAGGAGATAACGACGCAGACGGATTATCGAGAGGCTTAGAAGAGGAGGAGCAGACGGGGCCTAGGTTGGAAATCAAACTACCGGCAGATCTCGAACTCCTGTTGGAAGAAATATGATATCCCCGAAAACAGAAAAGAAGATTAGTTTATTCCTGCAAGATGCGAAAGGGGAAATCAAGTGGAGAAGCAATATGGTACAAACCCACATGTTGTCAGGAGGATGGGCGGAAGCGTCTTTAATTAATTATAACAGTGGGGTTTCGAAATTGATAAAGTTTTCTTTAGAAAAAGGCTATAAGAGACAGGAGCTATTGCCACTATCGGTTAATTTATTGTACGAATTTGTAACATGGTCCGGAAAGAAATTAGAAGCAGATGGGAAATCAGAAACGAGAGGAGACAAATCAGGAACAATTGAGGTAGAAACATTAAAGAAGTATCTCACCGGAATCAAATGCTGGCATTTGTTTCATGACGAAGAGTATCCTAAGTACGACGCGTTAAAATTATCGGTGTTATTGAAATCGTCCAAAGTAGCAGAGGCAGCGATACGAGAATCAGAGAAGGAGCAGAAAAAACCGATATTACTGCGTCATCTGGCTCAATTTTTGAGAGAATTATCAAAAGGTGGAAGAAGAGAACAAATGGCGTTAACAATCGCGTTAACGGCTTTTTGGGGTATGGCTCGGTTAGGAGAATTGGTATCAGATAACAAGAATAAGAAGTTAATAAGGAGGAAAGACTTACTTTGGACACCAGAAGAGGGAAAAGTAACAATTGCAATCTTCAACGCGAAAACAGCAAAACCAGGACAAGTGCAGTATATCAAACTAAAGAAACAGAACTCGTATCTAGATGCAACAGCCGCGATCGAAAGGGCAGTGGTCGATAATAAAACCGGACCAAAAGATCCACTATTCTCCTATTTGGAAGAAAACGGAACAAGAAGCACCATATCGAAATCGAAACTTATGGGGATCTTTAGGAGAGTGTGGGAAGCAAATAAAGAAGGGACTAAGCTTTCAGGTCACTCATTCAGAGTGGGTGGTGCTACTTTAAGGTGGAATGAGAAGAAGCCAATTGAGGAGATTACGACATTCGGTCGATGGCAATCAAAGGCATATCAGTTATACCTAAGGAAATATAGTAAGGAAGAAAAGAAAGAAACGAGAGAAATCTGGAAAATGTTTGAATTTGAAGATTGGCAAAGAGAGTGAGTGAAGTCAAGTGAGAATGAAAATGGGAAGGAAAGCTGACAGAACCCTCGTGTTGATAGTTGATACGAAAAAGAAAGTAGACGGTGGGAAGAGAGCGTGGTGAAGTTGGGGAGTTAGTTTGTGTTGGGGATGCGATGAAGTAAAAGGAAATGAGGGTACCACATGAAATAAAGTTTGCTCAATTGAACTATGTGGCGTATGAACGGTAGATCCTCTAAGCGAGATCAACACATACAGACGCGGACTGAGGTCGTGTTTGGGTTTTCGACAAGCTCAGGACAACCCCCGTCCAGAGATTGGGAGGTAGAAAACCCTTTCTCGGACAGGCAGTCCCCGGCCTACGGCCCCCCCCACACCAGGTCTGAACCTGAATAAGGTGAAGACCTAAATAAGTGATTGCTTGAACAAGAAAGGAAAGAGAGATATATTTACAAGACGAAAGTTAACAAAAGAGAATTGAAAATATATATAAATCAATGAGAACTGAACACGTCACACACACAAAGATGGATTGACGAGGGTGGCCAAAGGCACGACGTCACCCAAGAGTTCCATCGAGACACGTGACGTAGTGTATGAGTGCGAAGTAATAAGGGCCGGGACAATACCCGGCCCTGTGAGAGAGAGGCTAGGCAAACTGTGAAAATCTCTTCATCACAGTTTGACAAGCCACACACCACTCATACACCTCAGATTCGAATCAACAAATCTTTCGCTAAACGCTTCCCAAAAAGAAATAAAAGAAATTTCATTTTTGAAAAACCGTCCCACCCACCCTACAGATAAGGGCAGGAGACATGAGAGTGATAATATGGGAAGTGTAATAGGTGACAATTAGACACTTAGACACGTATAAGGACAGAAGTAAGATTTGTACAAAAGATCGAGAAGATAACTAATAGATAGAAATGCTAATAAAAAGTGGAAGCATATCATCAAATGAAGGAAATGGTTCCATGGGCCACCCACCCGCCCCCGCCCACGAAAACCCTTTCTCGGACAGGCAGTCCCTGGCCTACGCCCCCCCCCCACACCAGGTCTGAACCTGAATAAGGTGAAGACCTAAATAAGTGATTGCTTGAACAAGAAAGGAAAGAGAGATATATTTACAAGACGGAAGTTAACAAAAGAGAATTGAAAATATATATAAATCAATGAGAACTGAACACGTCACACACACAAAGATGGAATGATGAAGAAGGTTTTTTGAAGGAATCCAGTAAAGGTCCTTTGGATCATCAAGATCAATCAAGAGATTTCCACCAAGACCAGTGTTCCAATCCTACTTCCCAAGTAAGTCAGGTGATTGATTGAAGATTGACAGCTTCCAAGAGATCTTCAACCTTCTTAAGAAGCTTTTTTCAACTTGCTCTGATTCCTCCTCTTCCGCCAAAAAGATTTTGTAGCTAAAATTTATGGCATGGGTATTAGTTCTGGTGAGTTGAGGATGAGATAGTATGCCTTCAAGGTGCCAGATTGCCGGACCAAGATTGGAGTGGATCCTTCTCTTGTTCTTACCAGTGAAGATCAGCACTCGAAGTTTCTGAGAGATAGAACCCCCCATAATAGCTCAAAGATCAAAAGTAAGATGGTTAAAATTTGCTAAGAAAACTCAAAACAGATCCTACAAATCCAATCCAAAATCAAACCAAAACCAAAAACCAACCAATTGATACTTACAGTGAAAAGACTTCATATGTTCAATATAATTCGAACAACATGCTTTTTACCTAAAGAGTTTTAATAACCAATTCAAAATAATACATCTCCTTTCAAGACTTGTACCTCAAAGTTATCGTTTCTTTAAGATACTGAAGTTGAACAGATTTGATGATTTAGTTTGGTGTGGCTTTGGTCAGAGCATGCTTATTCAGATCTATGACTTCAAAATATATGAATTGATTTGTTTGTTGATTGGTTGATTTGATGAGAAATAAATTCCATTTGATCACACACACAGAGAGAGAAAGAGAAAGAGAAAATTACAAAAAACCCAAAAATGGAAAGCTACAAGAAAGCCAAAAAAATACTCAATCTAGACCCACTTGGGATTTTGTTTAAATTTTTTTGATCATGAATCAATCAAATCAAGTTTACAAAGAAAAGAAGAATAGATACCATTGTTAAAGAAATCAAAAAAAGTTGAGTTTAGATTTTTCCATTAAGAAGATTAATTTCAAATTCCAAACCCAAAGCCAATCAAAAGAACCACCATCTGATAAATTCATTCCGAAATTCATTACAATCCAAACCCAAACCCAAACCCAAACCCAAATTCAAAGATTTCTAAATCCCAAGGAAAAACCCAATACCTAAATCCAAACATATATATCCAACCAACATCATCTAAAAAAGACCCCAATCAAAGCAAATCCTCAATATCCCAAATCTCATGATTCACATTCCCAGTCATCCCAATCTGATCGACCAAAATATCATTCCCAAGACCCAACAAATCATCCTGTGGAATCAAATCCTTCCAAGCATCCAAATCGAACCAATCCATAAACCGATCATTCAAATTCGTCAATTTACTATCAATCAACTTAAAGTGTTGATAAACAGTAATCGGATCTAAATTCGTGAATCGGTTTTGATCAAAACTTGATGGGATACTTTGGAAATCGGTTGAATAGATTAATTGTTGAATCATCTTTTGAAGACTTGGATCTGGGATTGAGAAAGTGATTTGGGATGATAAGGTTTCTTGAATGGGGTACGTGTTGGGGATTAGGTTTAGGAGTCTCAGGGATAAGGTTTTTAGTAAACTTGGGTCTTGCTGAGTCCAATATGTATAAGAACTTTCACCTAGAAATTCAAAGAAAACAAATCAGATTCCGAAAACGAAAAAGAAAATCAAAGGAAAACTTCTTTACCTGCTTTCATCTTCGATTCTTGGTGATAATAATCAGTAAGTAATTCTTTAATCAGAATCGCTTCAAGTTTATTAAACTTCCAAACCTTTACAATCTTCAGTACTGATCTTAACAAATCATCTAATCCAAACTTTTTAGAAACCGATAAAGTTTTAAACTTGGGAGTCAAGAAGAATCCAATCAAATAAACTTCATCTTCTTTTAAAACTTTTAAACTAAGTTCTTCAATCAGTTTGATAGAATTTAAGTTAAATTCTAGGAAATCGACATGGTTTGATAACTTTTGACATCGGTGTGTGAAGCTTTGAAGGAGTGAGATGAGTTCGGACCATAGGTTTGAGATTTGAAAGTGAGTGGATTTGATCCGGTTAAAGGTTTCTAGTAAGGGTGAGATGATCTCATTCAAGGTTTCATTCAAGATCAAATGATTCGTGTCTTGAATCAAAGTTTGAATATGGTTAGGTAATTGATGTTGATGGGGTTGTAGGATCGGATTAGGATCGATTGAAGAAAGTGTTGAAGCATGTTGTAGTGCTAATTGATAAGTATGTACCCATGACGAAATCTTGATGATCGAATACCAACTAGGATTAGTTTGAGACGTGAATTGAAATGAACCGGCTTGAAGGTTCGGATTAGGTTGATTGAAGTTGATGAGGTAATGATTCCAATGAGCTGAGTTGGTAAAGAAATCGTATAGGATTTGGTTGGAATCAATAATAGGTTGGATGAAGGGATGGGATAAGATGAGTTTCGAAATCGAGGTGATCAAATGTATAGATGAATTTAAATGAAGGATATGACTATACTCAAATTTAAACAAATTCTATCAAATTGAAAGAAAAGAAGGTTAGTCTGTGGTCTTTAAACTCTTGAGAATGGAAAGCTAGACTTACTATTAATTCTTGAATGATTGGATTTGAATGATCAGAAACCAGTCCATCAAATTGATCTAAACTCAAAGATTTAGCATCCAGTGTTTGTTTGATCGAATTGAATAAGTTTTGAGACGAATGAGTTTGAGGAGAGAAGTGTAAAACTTCAATCAATTGATTAATCTGAAACTCTGAAGAATGAATAATGATCGCATATCCAAACTGATGGTTCTGATGTAAAGTAAAATGATCGATCGATAAGCTTAAGTGTTGTAAGTTTTGTAATTTGTTGATAGATTCGATTTGATGTTTTGCATAGATTAATGGAATGGTGACTTTGATGAATTGGTTTGAATTAGGAATCAGATAACCTTTTGGACTTAATCCGATTTGATAAGCTTGAAAGTTAGGTTCATCTAAGAGTGAGAATGATGAGTTTGATTTGATGATAGATTTGAATAATAATTCATGTAGCCTTTCATATTCTTTAGGTGGTGTTGGTTGTGGTGGTTGTGGTTGTTGTTGTTCTTGTGGTGGTTCTGATTTCACTTTTCGTTTTCTCGATGAACTAGGTTGAGTAGAGTGTTCTTGTTGTTGTGCTTGTTGTGCTTGTTGCTGTTGGTTTTCTTCTGAAGTGATTTTAATATATTCAGTTTTATTCGAATCCGGTACCGATGGACACATCATCTTAATATGTTTAAACAATACACTTGGCTTTCCATTACTAAACTCTTCATCACAATATTTACATTTCGCACTTCTTCGATTCGAACTATCTCCCCTTACATCTGACATTAAGAATCCTTGCCATCTCATCCCATGTGCTTTGGTTGGCTCTTGCCAATTGATTTCAGGATTGCTAGCAGCTTGTAGTTGTGGTTGTTGTTGTTCTTGATGAGCACTATTGGTAGGAGTTTCATCTATTTTAACTTTCTTTCGATCTGGTGTTTGCATTTTTGAAGATATAAACTAAGAAGAGATTGATATCTGATCTTCAAAACTATATCTTTCAAAGAGAAAGTATTGAGGAATTGAAGTGATTGAGTTCCTGCACCTCGACGTCGTAGGCGGGGGACGAATCGAAAGCTGAGGGTGAGCGAGGCGAGGGGCGGGCGGAGAGTGATGAGATTTGGAATCGAGTTGATCAAGTTCAGAAGGATTGAGTGACAAAGTCGGTGCAGGTAGGGATGACGAAGCGGGTGCACGCTCTTTAAATAATACTACTATGTGATATAAAGATAATGCTTATAATGTTCCTCAGTGACATCTCCAGTGACAGGTTTCAAATTGATTGTCAGCTGATCAGTTTTTAAGCATTTTGGCAAACCAAACCAACCAAACAGAACTAAACTCAAGATGATCAAGAACTAAAGAAACTCATCCATCAATCCTATCAATCAAGCTTATCAACTCTTACATTCTCAAAAATGCCAAAATTATTATCACATCCATTCACTTTTGCCTTTACATCTTCAACCCATTCAAATCATTCAAAACCATCAATCTTCCTACTATCTTCTTTTATTGGTTTCTTTGATATCAAATTAGGTGTCACAATCATTTCTTTATTAGCTTTGTTAAACAAAGTCGCTGGTATCTATGGTGTTTTAGCTGTCTTTACGGGTGTTAGTTTGGCTCAGGTTAGTGTTGGATTAAAGAATCTGCCGAAAGGATGATCTGATGGATAAGATATTGACTTTTTGGTTTTTCAATTATCAGTTATCAATGTACATCTATAGTATTTTAACCATCGGGTTAGTCATTTATGGTTTACAAGCAACTGGTGAAGTAAATCTCATCTTTCAACCTTTGCCCCCAAAAAAGAAATCATCAAACATTCATTCAATTCATTCATTAGGAAAACGCAAGGAAAACGTTTATTTATGCTAATAGCTTATTAGTCGATCATTTACTTTCCACGGTTTATACGGTTTGGTTCGGTTTAAGTTGGTATTTTGATAATCCTCATGATGGTCGTAGGATAGCTCATGGTGATGCTCAAAAAAATGTAGACGATTCTTTTTCAATTTATGGTTTGATAGTCAAAGAGAAATTTACTAATTCGGAATGTTTTGGTTTTTTTTTGGGGGGTTAGATGATGAATCCTGATGCACCTGAACTTTCACCTGAACTTAGAAAACAAGCTGCACAAGCTATTTGGAAAGCAGAAAGAGATTTTGCTACGATGATTTTAGTATCATTATGGATCTTAAAAGTAAATCTTTCATTTTAAATTCTTATAAAAGAAAAAAAAGTCGTGACAATTCTAACCTATTTTTCATCCTATTTTTTCTTTTCTTTCATTTCAAGTTATATTTTATTTTTGTGGTTTATTCTTTTGCAATTCATTTAGGTAGAGGTACTTATACTTCCTTACCACTTTCAAAACCTCCATCAACCATTCAAACCAATCAAAGAAGACTTCAATCCAATCTAAATCAATCTCAATCTGGAAATGATTCAAATGAAATCGAACATCATTTACTTTTACCGATTTCAGAAACTCATCTTTATCATCATCACAATACTTCACTTACACTTGATGAACTTGATTCTAATTTAGTTTAATCAATCCAAACCTCTCTTTGGGTTGGGTTACAACAAATAATACCTTTTTTTTGTATGTTTTTTTTTGCGAGGGGGAGGGGGTTTGGGGGTTTGGTTCTTTTATATACTAACGAAACTTATAAAATTGCATCATCATGGTTTTCTTTTCTTCTCTTTTTCTTTTTCTGTTTTTTTTTGTAGTAGATGATAATAGATTTGAGAAAGGTGGGTTATACTTTATGGATCATTCATGTAGTTGATAAATCATAATGTAAACGTTTCTGAGATAATTGATACTTAAATGCATAAAGTGTTTGTACGTGTGTGTGTGTGTGTGTGCAAACTATAGCTTGAGTCAGTTTTTCCTGAGTCTTTTTCTTCATCCTTTATCTTTCATGGGATCCTGATGTAGATGCAGACTTGAGTCCAGACCCGCCTGTACTCTTAGAAACCAAGTATCATAATATGTACCTCCATAATCACCATGTAGGCACTTTGTGATGTCCTTGGTACTTTGGAGCCTCCAAATGGCCGAACAGGTCGCCGCACAAGTCCTATGGTGAGAAGTGATGCATAGAGGGATGGAGATAAGTATCCTTCTGTTCCATTTTGCTGTTTGTCTGTGGTTACAGTTGGGCCATGGCAGCGCCTAGACCCAAGAGATCACAAGATTGGAAACGCGGCGATGCAAATGTGCAATTGAAGAGGCCAAGTCATTGCTATCACGGTAGGCGTGGCCAACTCTTTAACTTGTAGTCTGGTATTCTCTGACAGCCAAGTGAGTTGAGGGGTATAAAAGTGAGGTGAGCCTTAACCATTTGATACTTTCTATATCCTCTCAGACTTTCAGCTTATTCTCTTTACGATCAACTCTTCTTATTCTAAATATTTGTTTAAAATCTTTTATTATCTGTGTTATTAGTTTGTATATTTACCTTTAAGAATCATCACTTCGCAATTATCTTTAGTTAAGTCTTACACTTCCATTCCAGTGAAAAGATCTTTTCTCAAAAAACATCAAGATGCGTATCAATTATAGTTTTGTCGCTACCTCTATTTCCCTTTTGTTTGCCTTTGATTTTACCAACATGAACAATGTGTCTGCATCCCCTGGATTCGATCCATCTCGGATCAGAACACTTCTTCGTCGATCCTTGAATACTAGATCACATAAATCTGGTGAAGAAATCAATAATGATGAATCTGTAGTACCAGAAGCACGGTAAGTCATTCACACATCATACCTTTCTTCAAGTTCAACTTAGATAACTAACTAAACTTCTTTTAAATCATTGAATTTGTAGTCCTATTCAACAATCGGGTGTTCCTCAACTAGGACTTTCACCTGAAATGATGAAAAAGATTTCAGATGGTTTAGTAGGATCTATTGCAAAGTTTTCAGCTGATAAATTCTCTGGAATCCAATTTCCAACTCAACAAGAAATGTCACAATCAATTCAAGAAGCAATTTTGATATCTGATCATACAAACTTTTTTAAAGTTACTCAAGCTATTAAGAATTCTATTGATGCTCTTGCTGATCGAAAACTTGCTGAAAGTCAAACTGGAAAGAGTCGGTAAGTCATTATATTTTCTTAATTACGAAAATCAAACTTGTTTATGATGAAGTTGTGTTGATATTTTGTAATTTGGTTTATTGATAGTTCATCAAATGTTCCTAAACTCAGTTCTCCATCTATTCAATCATGTGCTGAACAAATAGCAGCTGCTTTATTAAGTATCATTGAAATGTTTTGTGAAGAAAAATCGTCTGGTGGTAGATTACCCACTTCATCTGAAGTAAACAAAGCATTAACACCAGCCTTTCAAAGAATCGATTTCAGTAACCTTAAGAAAAGTTCAGAAGTCGTCAAGTCTGGCTTAGAATTTGATCAGATGAGTTCGAGTCCTAAGAAGAATTCTATCGTTCAGGGACTTCCTCTTCCTCCTCGAACTAATGAAACGGAAGGACAAGCTTGATTTGAGTTTTTTTATTGTAATCATTTTGGCTTTCTTTATGTATTAGGGCTGTTGGTAACTACCATGACTTCTTTTTACGAAGTGTGATTTTTCTTTGTTATTATATTCCTAATAACACGTGTATATAAAATGATATGTGTTATGGATCAAGAATCAAGTGTTTTTTATCATTCAACTATGTCCTTGCAACAACTCAATATCTTTCCATGAGAAAAAGTCTCCACCAATCAGTGCCCGGGTCTCAAAGACTTTCATCATCTGACTTGGGCATCACAAAATGACTCAAATGGTGAGCTGATTCCCCAGATATCATATTTACAAAAACTTGTGTTATGAGTCCCCTTTCTATCTTTGAGTTTGAACTTTTTACGCATGTGGTATCCTACTTGGTTTTGCATCCAGACTCACATATTCCAAACACTCACACATTATCAGACAATCAGTCCAGGAAAATACACTTTGAAGTGACTTTATGATTCAGAATTAGTCAAACAGTTGATGCAGATGAAGCCTGTTGAAATTTGAGAGCATTAATTGACAAATGTTGTTTTAATTTTTGTCTCGATTTGATTGATGCACACACTTTTATCAACATATCAGCAATTACCCAATAAACAAAAAGTTATAGAAATGAGGTGTAAGATACGCTTTGAAAATGGATGATCTGTATCCTTATTATTATCTTGATATATCAGATGTTGATAGCTTTTTAAAAATTCCATATAAAATCTTATAGGCACATTCTTGACAAGGCTTCAGCTACTGACCAAATCTTGGAAGACAGACGAGCTTGAATGCTGCGAAAACATTCTGAACATCAAGCCCTTTTACAAGGAAGATGATTTGAGTGTGTCAAATGGTGTTTAAAGACCTCTAATGATGATTCAGAGGATCACTATAGCGGTATGATTAAGCTTGATCACGACTTACAAGATATCAATATTAATACTTGCTTGGGTGCGCGCATGAGAATGACTTTGGTATGAAGGAAACCAAAGAGATGCTTAAGACTTGAGCACGCGTCCGTGAATGTGATACATCAGGAATCAGAACGCACCTATCCGCCCACAAGGCTCAGTGGCAAAAGTCAACGCTCCCGATCGATGATGTGCCATTTAAGCTTCAAGGTCATCCCAGACACTTTTGGCAGGAACATGCAGAAGTTAAGAACATGAACATTTTCCATAATTCAACACAGAAGTTGGGACGCAGTATTTTTTGGGGGGCACATAGAAGCATACGTTCTTGGTTGGAATGTGGATAAATTTCATTGAATTCGGAATACGTCATTGAGGGATTTTGTCGGCGAGCATACAACCCTCCAGTGAAACCTTCGCACAATTCTTGATGGATCTCATGAACCCAAGCAAAATGTTCAGACCATGTCCGAACTGAAAATCATCCGACGAGATGAAATGCTGTAAATATCCCGATCACAACCATGGACAACTCATTCAACTAAGCCTAAGGAGTTCGCCCTACATTATATGATGCACGCGAAATTCTTGAAAGTCAATTTGTTCGCTTCCATATCCCGGAAGCTGATGCGTTATAAGGTTGTTTCAAAATGAAATGTAGGTATGTAAAGAGATCACCTTGGATGATTCCGGAATCATTGGGTGATAAGGCAATGTAGATGATAATCCATCTTCTCTAGATAAGTCGGTGAATTGTAACTCACGGCCAAACTTGAACTCTTAGCTTATGTTTGCCATCTCCACAGGCACAAAAAGTTCAAGGCTCAATAACAATGATGAGCTGGGCATACGTATCACAAGTCAATGAATTTCCAACCATTGTGCCTGTTTTTGTTCCTACCCAGCTCTGCAATAGAACGAATCATAGGTATACGAATTTCCTTTATATGAAGTCACATCCTCTAAGTCTGGATCTCATACCATTCCCCATTCCCGTTTTAATTCCACACTTAACTACCCACATTACAACTTTACTTGATTTTCTTTCTGACGATGTTTACATCCAAATTTACCCCAGTCCTTTCTAGTCCAAATGAACGTGATTTCATTGCCCGCGATCCTAAAAGATGCGGTACATTCTTTACTTCCGATATCATAGAGAAGTTTTCGAACCAGACGCCGATACCTCAGATATCCGCACCAACGTTCACCTATCATTCAAAGCCTTTCATACCGCTTCCTGCTCCTCTTACTGTACCAATGGGAAAGACTACAGCTCCTGTGGATTTCAGCACGATGCAACTACCACCGCAAAGTCAAATGGATATAGCAATGGGTTGTCGAGTGTTGGATTCACGTGGCAAGTCGTTTGAATTCAGTCAATTGATTGATAGAACGTGTCGTACGGTTGTGATCTTCATCAGGAACTTTCGGTAAGTCAACTTTGCCCTAAACTCGAAAGCTCTGGAACTCATTCATATATTAACCTTTTTTGTTCTGTGACTTATGTATGGGGGCAATTTTGATCAGATGTGCTTTCTGTCAATCGTACATTAAACATCTTTCCACCATCGCTAACGAGCGTGAAGAATATGGTGTGATCAAGTCAGCTGGAATCAAAGTCGTGATCATTGGCCTCGGTAGTCACTCCATGATTCAGAAATACGGTGGTATGTCCTCTATCTATCCTGCACTCTATACTTACAATGAAACTTACGTCAGCCAGCAATCCGTTACTACCAGCACTCTTCCCGTGCCCATACCCAATCTATACGGATGCATCTGAGTCCAATAGACTTTATCGTGCACTTGGAATGAACAAGAGGAGCGTTGAAAGTGGACCTGACCTACTCAAAGGGGATTATCTAGAGTCGATGTCAACCCTTGAGTTACTTACATACGGTATCAAGGTGAGCAATCTAATTCTTTGTCGCGCGAGATTGTTTCCTTTTCTAATCTCTGTATCTTCCTGACTCCAGAACTCGTTGAAACTACCAGGCCTCAAGTCCCCCGGTGATTTGAAACAATTGGGTAAGTTGATTATTCCCAGTCTTTTTGATCTCAAACCCGAATTGAGCACGATGATTATTTCACTGATATACTGCTGATCTCTTCAAAAATCACAGGTGGAGAACTGATATTTGAACCAGTACCAACCTTCAAAGCTGCAAGAATCCCAGTAAAAGTCAAAGCCTTGGAGCTGAAAGCATTAACAGGGATCCCGAGTATCACGCTCAATGTTCCAAAACCGTCAACTCCAAATGCCCAAGTTGATCTATCATTAGATAGATCATCACTCTATATACCTTCGGGAGGACTTGCACCATTTTTGGATTTGAAGGCAACTTCATCAATCTCTTCACCTATGGTCAGTATACATTGTAGGTTTGTACATCGAATGAGGTAAGTTATCTTTGATCAAATTCTTTATAAGAACTCCTTTTAGGGTTTGTCATTGACCTTGGTTCTTTTGTCTTCTTCTTCTTAGTTTCACTAGGGATCATTTATCATTGTATGATTTGTTTGGTAGAGCAGGTATCAGGCTTGAATCTAATCCAAAAAAAACTCTCAGTTGGATTTAAATTAGAGACCACTGGTACTATTCTGTCTTAATCTAATTAGTTTCATTCTTTCCATCAATCATATCCGAGTCATTGTATAACTATTTCTCTTCCAGACATCACTACATCTTTTCTTTTATTCAATTATATTGTATAAGTAATCTTTTCTTCCAAATCCAACTCTTATGTAATCTTGGCCCTTATCTTATCTTACTGCATACACATCTTATTTAATTTTTGGGATAATACTATTTGAAATTTTTACCACCAGTTAGTTAATTTTGGTGAAGCAATTTGAATGTAACGAGTCTTTAAGACCAATAAACATTCATCAACTTTAGCTTCGATTATATCTGGGCGGCGATCATCGGCTAGAGGTTTCATTTTTTGTGGAACAAATTTCAAATATTACTTTTGACTGTCTATATACCAGACCAAATAGTCGCAGACTCAAAAGTAAACCAGCTGAGATTCATCACAATTTTCTCTTGTGCAAGTGTCGCACTCGAAAAATTCCTACTCTCATTATTCACGCTGTTTTACCAGGGTATGGAGATTTTCTTGATTAAAATTAAAATTCGATCAATTCTATTTAAAGGTGAAGTATAGAAGTAGATGATTTAATCCCATCAAAGATACAAGTACCAGACAAAGGAATATATTGATGTGAAATTAATTTAATAGCTTCTTGTGCAACAATCCCTCCTATTAAAGCTGCAATCTGTGGTAATTCTGATCCGCCTGCTCTTACACTAAGCGAAAATCATCATCGGAATAAGTCAATCTGGTTTCTCAAAAAAAACATGAATTTATCAGAAACTTACACTTCTCCAATCGCGTCAATCAAAGTTTTAGGTAGCCCTGGTTCGGATAATTTGAGACCTCCAAGTGATCCAAGATATTCATTCGCGATAGTTTCCATGAGAGTTTGATCCGATTTGATTTCACTAGCAATCGAACCTGGATAACGATGATGTTTCTGACGAAAGAGTGCAGATGCTCGGAGTGCTAAATACCATGAAGCAGGTATCTGTTCGGCACTTGGTTCCGATTCTGCTGTCAGGAGTGAGACTGATGAAATTATTTGATTCTCAGCAATGATAAAAATGAACATATACCGGTACCAAGGATGATGACTTACTTAATCCCTCAGGACCGCTTCTCTCTTGAGCAAGTGAACGACCACGAATCAGTTTGAGAAATGCACTATGCTTAACAAAACTGTGAAGAACTTCATCAGAAAAGTTTTCATGATTAATTGAAGGAATGATTTGAGAATGTTGATCTAAAATCTCTTTAAGTATATTTTTAAAATCTAATAAATCTTGTTGAGCTTTTTGTCTATAGATTGTTTGAAGTTTTACATAACTATTGGTATCGGCTTTCATATCGGGTAAGACTCCCGTCAAAGGTAACAATAGGCTACCATCGTTTTGTTTACGATGTACGAATTCACGGAGGGTACGGACTAGAATCCAAAAGGGTGTTGAATTGGGTGATAAAGTGGTACAACATGGATCTAAGAAAAGTGATTGAATTGAATCGGGTACCTGAATGGTTGCCAATGATCAAGTCAGACCATGAAAATCGTACAGCCGATTGAAAACTAAGTAAGATGCAGAACTTACCCTTGTGGGCCTGCAAGCTTTCCAAATCATTCCGACGGCTTCATCAAAGTTATCTTCATCGGCATTTCGTTTTTCAGCTTGAATCATCTTCTTAAGTTCTTCACGTTCAGCAGAGGTTTTGGGAAGTTTACCATCATGCTTTCCTCTCAAACCATTATCAGTGAATTTGAAAAGAAGAGTGAGCACGAAGATATCAATTTATAGACTCACTGTACTTTTAAAAAGTTCTAGGAAATGAATCATAATGACGACAGCTGGAATATGTGTATGTTCATGAGTATCCAGTTTCTGAAAGTCGAAAGATTTAACAAATTCAAGTAGTGTAGGAAATGGAGAATCTAATCGAAGATCAACGTAAGAATCTGGATGTGTCTCGATCACTCTCTTCCACAGAGTTTCAATTCAAAAGTAGCGTAAGCAGGATAAAGTAAAACAGTGTTAAAATAAGGTCATCTGATATATGCAGATGGATTTTAAAAGAGTGAATATCACATACGTCCTAATTCTTTCACTTGTACCCTTATAGATCCCAAGAAGCCGCAAGTCTGAACGAGTATAAGAGGTATATTATTCTCCCAACATTTTTCAGCCAGTTCATTTTCATCATTATCTTCAAGTCCAACCCCAATCGCAATAGAACTTGAATGAAACGTAGTTTCTTCTGATCCTTCAACTTTTTGTCTTACAAAACTCATCAAATCATCTTCTATTCCATTAGTTTTCACATCTGGATTCAATTCAGCTAATAATCTTGATACTTCTTGTGCTCTATTCTTTCCTGAACTAGATTCTTCGAGAAAGAAGTTATGTCCTAGATCGCTTTCTGAAACTGATTGAGAATCGTAAAGTGAAAATGAACCGATACCAGGTAAGACTAAGTTTTTGAGAATTTGTGCTGAGGTTGCAGTTGCAGGTCCGATGACTAATGAAGCGCGTTCGAGAGCTGCTTGGCCTGAAGATGCCCAAAGCCTGTGCAATATGATTAGAGCTTTTGTTTTGCCGCTTTTCTTGAATGAGATGATCACTCACCTCAGTTGTCGATCATAACTGAATCAATCGCGAGAACGAAGAGGTATCAGTATCTATTGAACAATGAAGCAGTGCACCAGCCATAGAGTAGGTCTGGAATCAAACTCACCGTTGAGTTTTTGCATCAGGACTTTAAGAATAATAAGCAAAGTATTAGTCCAAGTCAGTGATCGATATCACTCTATGAAACCTCAGATGACGATTTTTGATATTTATGAACACGTACCGATCACGACTAGAGACGGGTAATATAGGCGCGACATCTTCCAAAGCGACCTGAGGTTCAGACATCGTGGTTGGTGGTTTCTTTAAATATTTAGAATGACCGATATCCTGAACATGAATGATATGACGAGAGTTGTAAAGGTCTTGATTTGGGAAAGTTGTGAGAATAGTTGAAGTTCAAATTCAATCTTCGGTATCCTGACTCGAATCAACAGAAATCACCCCAAACGGTAAACCCTCGTCCAGGTTCTGTATCACAATCCCGGGTATTCTGCCATAATTTTCGAACACACTTTCAAAAGGCTTTAAAAGCTTACAAAAGGCTACCAGTAAAGGGAAAAAAACGAGCAACATCCTCATGATTAGATGGGTTCTGATGATGGAGCAAAAATTGAAGCGTATTACATACATACGTAGTTTTTATACCACAAACAAATAAGAAAAAGCTTTTCAGCATCTTGCCTTCCTTCTGTACGGAAATATGGCATATGCTTGGATTGCTTGAAATCAGCAAATCATATTTTCAACTTTCTGAATCTGGGATTGATCAGGATATCGATGTGAAAAAGAAGAAAAACCCAAAGACAGCTTCAGATATTCTTCAAAGAGACAGTCGTTTTTTAAGTAAATATCATTCCCACAACACATCTCACAAAAACAAAGCCAGTTGAACCGAAATGTCACCCGCCGCCGGGACCAAAATGGAACATTGGAACAGATCAAGATTAGAGAAATTTTCTTAAAGAGTGTAAAATATCCCTTGGAAAAAAACAAGTATTTGGCGGGCAATATGGGACAACTTTACACACTGAGAAAATCTGCTCTGTTCAACTACATATCCAATTTTTGCAGTGCGTGAATCACTGCTTAGTGGTAGGAAGGTGATATTACCAAATGAAGCTTTAATATATACAAGCAGGAACTGATTTCCATCTCCATATCTAATTTCTTTATACCACCTATGGCGCTATAGTCCAGACGGATTTGTCTTTATCGGAGTCAGAGCTGGACCTTTGATTGTTCGCTCTGTGCTTGTATCACATAAGAGTCTTGACCGTTTTGAAGTCCTTGATATCATGAACCCACGTATAAGTTTTTACTTGAGACGTTGAGAAGTTGAACCATCGACTTATAATAAACCGCGTGAGCACCACCAGTACAAATTATAAATAAAAAATTGTGAGTCGCGAGCTCGACCTAAAACCAACTTCAAGTCGAAATCTTTTCAACTTGAACCTATCAATCATTAACACAATGAAAGTCTTATGAAACTTAGCAAAACCATTGTTCTTGATCCTCATCAATCACTCCATTGAATCACATTAAAGCCCGTCTCATCTATCAGCCTAGCCTCGACGCACGCTTTCCCCTTGGGAGACCTTGAACCTACCGGAATCTGCCTTTCCGTTACCTTGCCTGAAACCCTCATCACACAGGGTTTATACGCAAAGGATAGTGTGATGCACTCTCAGGTGTCACTTGACACTGAGTATGATACCGAGCTCAGAGTCATCTCACTTCGTCCGGGTGTTGGCCCCGTGAAAGAGTCACAGTATTCCCGATGTGAAGCGAGGGAGGTACCCGCAGCTGTATTGCGGGGCCGGAGCTGCATCGAACCCGGAGACGCATCCATTGGTACCGCGCGTGAGATTGTAGCGGAGAGCATCGAACAAGAAAAATCAACCAAACCCAAACCCAAACCAAAGAAAACCATCAAAGAACGATTGACTTCAAAAGAAAGACCAAGAGAAAAAATGACTGATACTGTTACTTCAAAATCCATACCAACAAATCAATCAGACATCAAAAAAGAAAGAAATTCAAATTTAATCAAAATCTTTGGACCATCCGTCATTCATCAAATCAAATCAACCAAGATCTTAGTCATCGGTGCTGGAGGAATTGGATGTGAATTATTAAAAAATTTAGTTTGTAGTTCGTTTGAAGATATTACAATTGTGAGTAAAATGACTCACTCACCCTGATTGCCGATCAAAGATAAGAAAACTTAATGATTTGAAGCGGGGGGTTTTGTAGATTGATTTAGATACCATTGATACTTCAAACTTGAATAGACAATTCTTATTCCAAAAACGACACGTCAAAAGACCCAAAGCGATCGTAAGTAAATCCCAAGATATCCTCAAAACTCCCCTAATTCCAAAAAGCTTGATCTGTAATGTTTGATTTCTAACCTTTGACAGGTAGCCAAAGAAACGGCCATCAATTTTAATCCATCAGTAAAGATCAAAGCCATTCAAGCCAATATCTTAAATCCAGAATATTCAACTATAAGTTTTTATAAATCATTTGATTTAGTTTTAAATGCATTAGATAATTTAACAGCAAGAAGACATGTTAATAAGTTTTGTGTGGCTTCTAATGTACCTTTGATCGAAAGTGGTACAGCAGGTTATGCAGGTCAAGTTCAACCTATTGCAAATGTAAGGTTTCATTTAAATTTCTTCTTTTTTTCATTACCTTTTTGAAAACAATCAACGAGTAAATTGATTTGATTTTTGGATTTTAAAAGAGACAAATGGAATGTTACGATTGTCAACCCAAACCAACACCTAAAACGTTTCCAGTTTGTACTATTCGATCAACTCCTTCTACACCAATCCATTGTATAGTTTGGGCTAAAAATTATCTGTTTGGGTAAGTGACTCTCTATGAATCGAAGAAAAAGAAAAAAAGACCAGGTTAAATTGATTGATTGTGTGGCAACTGTTGGTGGTCTTTTGATAGTCAATTGTTTGGAGCTGATGATGAGAATGATGGAAATGAGTTAGATGAAGCATTAAAGAATGGAGAAAGTGGTAAGAGCCCATCCAAATCCTTCAAAAGAAAAATATTATCTTCTTACTGATGATCATATATGGGGAATGATTTGAAACTCAGTCAAAGAATTAGAAAACCTAAGAATCGAAAGTCAAGAAATGAAAGAAATCAAAAAGATTGGATTCTCTAAACCGGAATCATTAAAAAAGATTTTCGAAAAAGTTTATACACAAGATATTCAAAGATTATTAAAGATGTGGACAAGAACTGATGATCAAAATAAACCAAGTCCATTGGATTTTGATGTGTTAGTTAATCAATCCAAACATCTTGTTGTACAAATCGATCAAACTTCAAAATCTACAAATGGATTAAAAGATCAACAAGTGTTAGATTTGTTAGATTCTTTCAAGTTATTTGGCTCTAGGTAAGAGTTCATTAATCACAAAAAGATATGTTCATATGGAAATCTAACTTGATGATTTATTTGATTTATTAGTCTTATGAAACTTGATGAACGAATGGAGTCAAGTTCAGATAATGAACCATTGACATGGGATAAAGATGATGATGATGCATTAGATTTCGTTACCGCTGCTGCTAATCTTAGAGCTCATGTTTTTGGAATCCCTCTTAAAACACGGTTTGAAGTTAAAGGTTTGATCGTCTTTTCTATCGATTTTTTATATAAGACATCTGACTTACAATGTTCTTTTGGCTTGTTCGGATCTTTGGGTACCTAGAAATGGCTGGAAACATTGTAAGGATTTCTTTAGAATTTTATCATCACCTACTTCAAACTGTCACTTACTTAGATTTCATGTTAATGTTTTGAAATGTCAGATTCCAGCAATAGCTACAACCAATTCAGCAATCTCTGCACTCATCATTTTTCAAGCTATACAAATCTTAACAAAAAATTCAAATCTGATCAAATCAAGTAGACCATGGTATACAAAAACGTCAGATCGATTAATCTTATCAGGTTCAATAGATGAACCGAATCCGAAATGTGAAGTTTGTTCATATATTTATGTAAGAGTTAAAGTTTTAAAAACCTGTACTTTAAAAAGCTTTTTAGAAGAAGTTTTTGAAGACATTCAAGATGGAATTCCAATCGAAAATCTTACCATTCAAGAAGGTGATAGGTTAATTTTAGATCCCGATTTTTTAGATAATTTAGATTTAGATTTACTTCAACTTGGTTTATTTAATCCAACTAATCAAAGTGATTCTAAGTTTTTAGTGGTGACTGATGAAGATGAAGAATTTGTACCGATTTCATTTATTTTAGAAAGGTAAGATCAAAACTTGATTGAATTTCCAATTGAAAATCAATCAAACTCGAACTGAACTTTGTTTTTTTCCTGTAGTGTGAAAGAAGAAGAAGAAGAAGAAATGAAAAAAGGATCCAAGAAGATTCACTCAATAGAAGGCTTACCAACCCAAATGAAAAAGAGACCTAAAATCATTGAAAGTAAAGAAGAAGAAGATGACGATGATGAAATCGAAATGAAAGGTAAAGCAATCACACCTAAGAAATCGATTATAGAAATCGTCATTGAAGATGAAGAAATCAATGAGATTGAAATAGAAAGTAAATTGATCAAAAATAAGAAATCGATTGAAGAAGTCGTTCAAGAAGGTGAAGAAACAAATGAAGAAGAAAGGCAAAAGAAAAGAAGAAGGATTGATAATGATGATCATCATACGATTGTTGAAAATCTTAATGGGAGTCTTGAGAAATGAGGGGTGTTAATGGTGATAAAACAGATGATTATCTTTAGAATGATCTTTCAACTTTTTGATTTTTCTTTGCTGTTTAGAAAGTTTATGTCATTATTACCTTGACTTTTTATCTTATGGAATTAATTTTTATTTTTTTAAATCAAAGGCTTTGTTGGTTTTTCAAATCTTATTTAGAGTTCTTATCGAAATTGTTTAAGATTAGATTACTTTCAAAGTCATTTAGTTTGTAAGTAAGTTTTGTTCTCAAAAAAACTTTTCAATTTAATTGAAAGATGAAAAGCATTTAGAAATGATTTGGTTTTGTTATTTTGGAATCAAAAATTGAAGCTATAGTGGCCTATAGTTGGCTATAGTAGTGGCAAAAGGCCTCGTAATTCAAGATAAATGTCTGAGCTAAGTGTTCTTGATCACACTCCAAGATTTTAAGCAAGCAAGAAAGTTTTGGGATGTTCAGCCTGATATATACATTTTCCACAAATCTGATCATCTTGTTTTTGCTGCATCTCAATGGTTGTTCAGAACTCAACATTTCGAGCATGCAAGAGCCATCTAAGGTGGATTTTTTGAAATGACTCAATATGGACAGCAAAAAGTTGATTCCAATGTTTTCACGGATAAGTTACAAGAAGAAAAGGTTTATGAAGATTGAATTAAATTAGAAAGGTTTGATTCGATTTCTTCATGAGATTTAAACAAATTTAATCCTAATCTTTTCTCCACCCCATTTTCTAATCAAAGAAAAAGACACAAAAAGCAAAACAGAATGAGTTTTGATAGAATATTCCAAGATGGATTGATAAGAAGACACTCTAACTTACCTAATCTTACAAAACATCTAGGTTCACTGATCGAATTTAATGGTCTGATTAAGATTGGTAAATTAGGATTTGATGATTTGATTTTAGGATAAGTTTGTTTGATGAAATCATTCATTGGTTTGAAACTTGAATCGAATTGAAATCTATATTACAATCATCAACCTAGAGTTAGTTTGGTTTTGTGAGATGAATGATTGAATGAATGAATGGGTTGGTTGTTTACCTGATTTCTTTGACTGATTTTGGTAATTGACTTCTTAAGATTGATGCCATGTTGATTGATTGATTAGAGTGATTTGGTGTTGTTGGTTTGATCGATCGATGGTAATAAGGTATTCAGATTGAGAGTGAGTGCTTCTGGTCTAACTTAACTAAGTCCCTCTCGGACGAACGAGTTCAGGAAATGGTAATCAATCGGGTCAATCCAACATATCACACTAATATCACACAACACACCATGGATTTCACATACCACATTCAGAATCACATGATACTTACATATGATCAGTAGTGTAAACCCATAGACTGTAATTTTTTCATCTTGTCAAAACTTAAAAGGTTTCAAGATTTTTTTGGATCAACTCATCGTCCACATTCAAGCTCATCACAAATCAACTTCAATTTAATCAGAATGGTCCCACCTTCTGCAGTTACCGAGTCTTCAAGACAACCAATTCCTTCAACTTCTGCAAAACTACTTGGTCCACCTCCTTCACAATCATCATTTCAAACACTTTTAAGAGAAGAAACTTTTCGAAACCCTTCAAAACGAGCCACTGGAAATCCAGCGATTCATAAACTTGTGGCTCCTCATATCGAAAGTTTTAATACTCTCTTTGAAGCTCCAGATGGTTCACCAGGTTTACTTACATTAGGTGTAGCTGATATACCATCAAAAGTCGTATTTGATTCACCTCCAGAGAATAGCGACACACCACGTAACAGGCTAGAATGTTAGTACACTTAGAAAATTCTTAGGATTCTCAATAGAGCTAATTTATAATTCTTTTTAGTCAAGATTGTAGAAGTTTTGGTGTCAAATCCTATGGCTATTGAAAAAGGAACAGGTCGAGATCGAATTTATCCATCAGAGGTAAAAAAATTTGAGAACCCTAATAGACCTTGAAAAATTTCACAACATTGACATTTCTTTTTTCAAAATTTGTTTTTGGATCAGGCTCGAGAGCGTATGGCCACCTATGCGGGTAAAATTTCAGCCAAAGTCAGTTGGTCACTCAATAATGGTCCTCCGAATCATGAACATCGTGAATTTGGTCAACTACCTATCATGCTCAAAGTTTGTTCCAAATTCACTATGAATTGATATTCATAAACTTATCACTAATCATATTCAATTGATTACTAGTCAGAAAAATGCAATTTGAAACAAATGACACCTCGACAGTTGATTGATCATCATGAAGAATCGGAAGAAATGGGTGGTTATTTCCTCGTCAATGGAAATGAACGTTTGATTCGTTTTCTTATAGTACCAAGACGTAATCATGCTATAGCCCTTATTCGACCTTCATTTTGCAATCGTGGAAATTTCTATACTCCTTTTGCTTGTCAAATGAGATGTGTTAGACCTGATCAATCTAGTCAAACCGTCACTTTACATTATCTTTCAAATGGAAATGTGACGTTTAGATTCAGTTGGAGAAAGAATGAATACTTAATTCCAGTGGTGATGCTCTTGAAAGCTTTGATTGGTGCAAGTGATCAAGAAATCTTTGCTGGTTTGGCTCAAAATGCATTTGATGATACGTTTCGTACCGATCGAATCGAATTACTTCTTCGTAGTTTTAAAAATTATCATCTACCTACTTCGGCACTTTGTTTACACTTTCTTGGTAGTAAATTTCGAATCGTTTTGAATTGTCCTGATGATTGGAGTGATGAAAGGGTGGGTCGATTCTTGTTGGATCGAGTTGTACTCGTACACCTCAACAATGCTACTAGCAAATATCGTCTTCTATTGTGAGTGAATCATCCTTTTTTTCATACTTGAACACAAACCTGACTAATTCTTTGTCCAGGTTTATGATCCAAAAGCTCTACGCTCTGGTCGGAGGCGAGTGTTGCGCGGATAATCCTGATTCACCTCAACATCAAGAAATCCTTATGCCTGGTCACTTACTCTCATCAATCTTAAAGGAGCGTTTCGAAGAATATATCGGAGGAATTCGTAATCAAATGGCTTCTGATGTTCGAAGAGGTGTGGCTAGCGCCAACTTTCGTGATCCGAAATATGTTCAAAAGACAATGGCACGTGTAGACTGTGATGCTGGGAAACGGATTACGTATTTCCTTGCTACTGGTAACTTGGTCTCACCTACAGGTTTAGATTTACAACAAATGAGTGGGTTTACCTTGATTGCAGAGAAATTGAATTTCTATCGGTATATTTCACATTTCAGATGTGTGCATCGTGGTGCATTCTTTGTGAGTCCATAGATTTTCATACTCCGATCATTCATCGAGTTCACTAAACAAGAGTCATTTGTTCTTCAGGCCGAGTTGAAAACTACCACGGTTCGAAAACTGTTACCTGAAGCTTGGGGATTTCTTTGTCCTGTACACACACCTGATGGTTCTCCTTGTGGATTGTTGAATCACTTTGCTCACCAATGTCAAATTCTGAGCTCTCCCTCACCATCTTCTCATGTTCCAGCTCTATTGACGTCACTTGGAATGAGTCAGCCCTTTGATTCAGCAGTAGATGTTAAAAATTATGTTTGTGTTCAACTCGATGGTGAAGTAATTGGTTGGGCATCATTATCTTTATGTTTCAAAATGGCAACTGCTCTACGGTTATGGAAGACGGAGGGCTTAGAAAAGATCCCACCTGGTTTAGAAGTCGGATTTGTACCTCGAGTCACTGGCGGACAGTATCCTGGACTTTTTCTTTTCTCTACACCTGCACGAATGATGAGACCAGTTCAACTGATCTCGAATGGCAAGACAGAGCTTATCGGACCTTTCGAACAGGTATACCTTGATATAGCTTGTACCGAATCAGAAATCGAAAAAGGAATCAGTACACATGTTGAAATCTCACCTACTCATATTTTATCTCTATTGGCCAACCTTACACCTTTTTCCGATTTCAATCAATCTCCACGTAACATGTATCAATGTCAGATGAGTAAACAGACGATGGGTACACCATCTTCAGCATTCAATCATCGAACAGACAATAAACTTTATCGACTTCAAACTGGTCAAACACCCATTGTACGACCTGCTTTACATGATCATTATCATATGGATCATTTCCCTAATGGAACGAATGCAGTTGTAGCTGTGATTTCTTATACTGGATATGATATGGAAGATGCGATGATTTTAAATAAATCAGGACATGAAAGAGGATTTGGACATGGAACGATTTATAAATCACAGATTGTAGATTTACAACCTGATCGAGGACGTGGTTCATCAGAAAGACATTTCGGATTAGGAGATGATCATAAATTAAAAGACATGGCACAACATTTAGGAGCTGATGGGATTGCTATGATTGGTAGTCGATTGAAACGTGGTGATCCGTTATGTGCTTATGTGGATCGAGTGACTGGTAAAGGTGGTTGGGAAAAATATAAAGGTGATGAAGAAGCATTCGTTGAAGAGATTCGATTGATTGGTATGTGAAATTCACCATTGAGTTTTTGTTTTCATTTCCTGTTTTAAAAATGTGATGATTGAATTGAGATCTTTTGATGATGATTGTAGGAAATGATTCTAGTACAACAGAATGTACAAAGATTCATTTTAAACTTAGGATACCTAGATCACCTGTGATTGGAGATAAGTTTTCATCACGACATGGACAAAAAGGAGTGTGTTCACAAAAATGGCCAGCTGTTGATATGCCATTTACTGAATCAGGTATGCAACCTGATGTGATCATCAATCCTCATGCTTTTCCTTCTCGTATGACGATTGGTATGTTTGTGGAAAGTCTTGCTGGTAAGGCTGGTGCTATGCATGGGATCGCACAAGATGCTACTCCTTTTAGGTGAGTGATGAGTAAATCAAAGTAGGATGAGTGATTGAGAAGGAATGAGAACCTGATTTTTAATCAACCGACTTGATTCTCTTTTTTCGCTTTCCAAAACAAAACAAAAAAAGGTTTAATGAAAAAGATACACCATCTGAATACTTTGGTACTCAACTTTTAGCATCTGGATTTAATTATCATGGAAATGAACCGATGTATAGTGGGATCACTGGAGAAGAATTCGTGGCGGATATTTATATCGGATTGGTTTATTATCAAAGATTAAGACATATGGTGGGAGATAAATGGCAGGTTAGAACGACTGGACAAGTTGAGAAGACGACACATCAACCTATCAAGGTGAGAGAGAATGATTTTTATATTTGTTTTGATTTAGAAAGCAAAGTGCTCATTTGATTATTGATGATGATTTGAATGATGAATTTTCGAATCTGATTATTGATTTTAGGGTAGGAAACGTGGAGGAGGCATCCGATTTGGAGAAATGGAACGTGATGCATTATTAGCACATGGAACATCCTTCTTATTACAAGACAGATTGATGAATTGTTCGGATTATTCAACAGCATGGATTTGTAGAAAGTGTGGAATATTAAGTTCGATTGGATATGAGAATCGATTACAAGAAGAACTTGAAGGGATCGATCAAGGAGGGATAGGTCTTCAACCTGATAGTTATTCAAACTTGATGAAAGTTAATGGACCTAAAGGTGAGTTTTGTAGGTTTTGTAGAGGATCGGAAGATGGATTGGGGAATCAGATGGGAATGGGATTAGAAGGCATTGTGAAGGGATTGGAAAGTCATATGGATGTGATTGAGATTCCATTTGTGAGTGATTGGGTTTCGGTTCAAAAAGCTTGAATTATCATCATGATTCTTCAAAGTTTTTAAAATTACTTTTTTTTCAATGGACTGTATTCATTTTATAGGTTTTCCGTTATTTGATTGCTGAACTTATGGCAATGGGAATCAAGTAAGAGATTTTTTTTCTTCCTTTTAGTTACGGTTTTTAGATAGGTTTCTTAATTTTTTATTTTATTTTTAGGATTGCATTAAAAGTGGAAACATCAGGTTAAAAAGATCCTAAATTTAATAGATCAACATTCATAACTAAAAGGGAAGAGATCTTTATTTCAAAGGTTCAAGATTTATGAAGGATTACAAGATTTTCTTGGTTTTTGTTTTGTTGGTTTTGTTATTGTTCAATTTGTTTAACGGATCGCAATTGATTTTTTTGGTGATATGAATGTGATGTTTTGATGGCTTATAAGGGAACATATAATCAAATAAGGATCCGTACTACCAAGAAATCTTGTTTGATGTATTGAAGGACTTCATTGGGCTTTGAATACCTCTGTGAACTTATCAGTAGATTTGAAACTTATTGAAACATGCAAAGAATGTCTCTCACCAAACAAAAATGTCCGAAAGGTATTCAACACGTACCTTGATCAGTGATGAATTGAAAAAATGAGACAAGTTGATCACTTTGGTAGGGTCAGGGATCACCTGTTGTGTAAACTTGTGTGGCACCCTGATGTACTCACACTATATTTCCTAGGATGATTCTTGTTCTGAAAGAATTCAAAAGTAGAGTACATACACGTGGAGGTTTGGTGGGTGTATTGAATTTGATTTGATGGATGAAATGTGATTTGTTCTTGTTTCAAATCTGAGTGGGACCGACCCGCGAAGAGTGAGATTGATTGAGTTACTTCTCACTTCTAATCCACACTTCATCTGATTTCAAAAACCAAAACATTCGAAACCACCTCGGAACTTGGTCAAGAAGCTTTCATCATCATCATGGGTTCATTCTTGGGAATCTCAGCTCAAGTTTGGCAAACTTTAATCGTTGAGTCTCATTCATTCATCTCCGCAATCGGCTCATCAATCTCAAAGCTAATAATCTTCTCATAATAGGTTCTTGCCTTGCCTGTTCTATATCGTTCTTTACCGAGAATTAGAGCGATTTGGTTACGTCTTCGTTATGGTCCTCCAGTCAATCAAAATCAACCTTCAGTGGATCGTGTGTCAACTTCTGATTCCTTGAAACGATTAGGATTAGCACGTTGGATACTACTTGCAGGTCTCTACATCACCATCATCTTAAGATGTACTGCCTTTAACCCAGCCAAAGAAAACCCATTCGCGATCACACGTTTACCACTTAATACACCATCAGTTTCACTTACAGCTGCACTCGTTAAACACCATCGTGCACATGGTTTGAATGATACACCCATCACACAACAACGTCTTCTTCAACGTCTTACCAGTCTTGATTCTCGATTACTTTATACGATCTTGGGTCCTGATTCACTCTTAAACTGTCGTTGGTGTCGACCTCCATCTAAAGAAGCTAATCATACAAACGATCACTTCTATTATCATTTACCTCGACTTGCATCACAATATGCATTAGCGTTCATGGCAATGGGTTTACTTACTACAAATGCTTCTTCATTAGAATCTAAACGTAGGATCTGGCGGTCTAGAAGTTCTGTGACACTTATCTTTGGTCTCATACTTGAAATGATCACTGTGTTTGTTTTACTACACGTACCATCATTAGGTATGAATGCTAAGAATGAAGGTAGAATGTTAGGTGATAAGATTTATATGATTCGTCATATTCTCTTTGGTTGTGTTTTTGGTATCTGTAGTTGGTCTGTGATGACTGAAACACAAGAATCTAATGCTACTGCTTTGGCTAAAGTGGGAATTCAAATCGGATCGGTTACTCATCAATTAGATACACTTGTTAGTCGACTTAGAGTGGCGGCCCTTCAACGTAGCACAGTGATGCGTGATCCGGTATACAGGAATCAAGTTGAGTTCTATCATTTCATTTTGATCCCTTCTATCATTTCATCTTGATCTTTTATATCATTCCATCTTACTGACTAAACATTTACTTTGAATCATCAACCATATTTCGTTTTTTTGGTATTTAAAAGAGTAATGAATTTTGGGAGTATGCAGAAAATCAAGCTAAGATTGCAAGTAAAGATAAAGGAGTTAAATTGATCAAAAAAGAATTAGGTCTTCATAATACATCAGTTCAACCTGATTCAAATCGAGAAGAATTGAAAAGGTTTATTGAAATTAGTTATCCTATTCCTACTTTATCTGTTTCGGATCCAGTTTTATAAAACAAAATACATAAGAAAAATGAAAACTTGATTCTTTTATACAATTTGGTTTTTGAGGTTTCTTTTGATTATCTTTTTGCATACATTGATTTTAAAAATTGTATATATTACATACACAAAAAAATTGACCAGAAAACATTTTTCTTTTTTTAAAGGTTTTTCATTTCTCTCTTTCTTTTTATCGTTCTTTTTTTTCACTATTTTTCTTTTTGTGTTCATGTTTCTTTCATTTATATTGGATTTTGATTATCTTTTTTTACAATACATACTTTAAGGAATATAGAGTAAAACTTGAAGATGAAGGTTTCAATGAAATTCATCAAGGGTGTGTTCACTGGAGGAATTTCTGACCAGGAATCACATTCTGTAAATTCTTTAATACAAAAATGAAACATGCAACACCAAATGGACACTTCAAATTTTGTAGAATGTGATTTCTCACCAGAAATTGTTTAAGTGAACATGCCTCAAGTACACAGTAAGAAATACCTGATTTTCAGAGAAGCTTCTTGACAAGTACACAAATGGTTGTGAGAAGAAAGGATCATTACAAGATGTCCTTGGTGACACTGAACCCTTGTACCTTGAGTGCTAGAACTACAAGGAGAATGTATTTCTCCATAGTGGAAAATGATTAAAACTAGTAACAACACTGAGACAGCTAATCTACCCGTAGCTGATAAGATAGTGTAGCTAGAAACATGCCGCAAATCTACAGCTCGCAGGAATCAGCATGAATGAATCCCAGCTACCCTACACAGAGTCCCAGAAAATCTCCAGCTAACCAAATCACACTGTAGCGTAGTGTAGAGGCACAAAACTCAACTACAGTAGCTCATAGCGTAGCGTAACTTGACAAGTTACACTATCATAAAGGTCAGATCTGTGTTAACTGCATACAGTTACGCTACATACAAAATGCATGGTAGCGTGTTGTAGCGTAGCTGTCTCAGCGTTGCTAGTAATTGAAATGGCATGCTTGATATTGGTCCAAAAAAATCTGAAAAATTCAGTCAAGTCAAATTGTGCTATGTTCTTTATGTTGAAAGGTTTTGGCTGATCATGGAGAAAAATCCAAGCACTCAGTTTGATAATTTTCAAGCCTTTCCTGACATATATTACATAAAAATGTAGGACTTTGTTTTAGTCTCCAAAAGTGACAAGAAAAATCTGAAAAAATATGAAAAGTGAAGGACAATTTTCTCTTTGTTGAATGGTTTTTTTGGGATTTTTCTAGTACATCATCACATGTGGGTCTTTTAAAATCTTCCATCATATCAACCATATCCTTGAGAGGTTGATCAGGTGTTTTGGTGTGAGCTTCAGTGAGTGAATTTGTGATTCAATGATATTCTACCAGGACAAGGGCACCCAAGGAAAATTTCACCTCCATACACTTGGTACCTATCATGAATCTCTATCAATTGTCTGGCCAAGAACTTGAGTATCAGCAAGAAGTAAGATTAGGAAGATCCATCAGCTGTGTAGTTCTCTTTGATTGTTCCTATTCTAGTAGGAATCTTTGTGTGTAAATTATGAGAAATTAGGTATCTTGTAACAGGACATGCTATCAGTTCACCATAATAATTTCAAGTTACCATCTTTAGGGTTAATGGAATCTGTTGGTAGCAAAATTTTTGATTGAGACAGCAGGCAATTATTTTCAGGGTTACACAAGTAGACTGGAGGTTATGGGTTATTCATATGGGGTTAGATAGATTAGACTATACATTTCTCTTCCAACACCGGCTTTGGATAGTCCCTACTTCTCTGAGGACCACTCATGGGACTGTTTAGAGCTAGGTGAGCTCAAGTCACATTTCATTACATCTTCTAGGATCTCTATCCTTTTCAATTGTTGTTTCCTTTTACTGACTTCTCTGAGGACTTCTCTGACACAGTGCCCGTGGAGAAGGCCCCCGACGTCGGGGGCCCAACAGTCTTGGCAAGTGTGTCGCATTTGTGTGAATTTTGTGTCACAAATGTCTACAAATGTACACAAAGGGCAAATATTGCATGCACATCACCCAGGCTGAACTTCATCAGTCTGAGTCAAGACTCAGGCAGATTAGGAGACAAGCAGCCCTGAACGCTCAGTATTACCGACTGAACGCTCATTTTTCCCTACTGAACGCTCAGTGTTCTTCACTGAACACCTAGAAGCTGCCTACGAATTATCCTTGCTCCGAGAAAAGCTAGTGACCATCCGCCCGTTCCACCTTGCATAGCTCGCTCGCACGTCCGAACACGCCTGCGGGGTCAGCTGTCAGATCAGATGAGTGGTCAACAGTCGGATAACTCCTCCTATGTAGTGAGTCTATGTAAAGTACATACATAAATCCATAATGTCAGTTCATGGTATCAAGTTTATTTACACATATCAAATTCAAATTTAATTGCTTGCGATCATTAAGTACATATGTATTTATTCCTCAATCCTCGTAACTTTTCAAGTCACATTGAATCTTACTCTGATGAAATCCCACCTGGTCCACATCCTATCAATCAATCATGAAGACAACCATCATCACCATCATCCCATGCCTGGAACCTATTTAAGAGAACATTATGTTAATGAACCTCATCCTCGTCCTTTGTCACCTCCAAATCAACTTCGTTCACGTCCCAGACCATCAGTGCAATCCCGTCTTTCAACTTCAGTCACTTGTCCACAATGCGTAGCTGACCCGTCCACTCGTACTCCACCCTTCAGTATCGCCTCTTCAGGATTTACATCATCTCAGTCGAATCTATTCTAATTGAAGTTACTCAAGTCTAGCAATGATTCATCACAAAATCCTGGACCTTTACTTGACTTCTCACCGCACACTAAGCTTTTGGCTCCATTCAGAGTGTGTTACGCTCTCACCTATCCGAAAAGAAAACTCCACATGAAAAGTAAGTTGATCACAAGTTTACTAACTTTTATTTTATTATTCTAGTCAACTAAAACACCTGCTCATTCTGAAATAGCCATAGCCAATGTATTCGAACGTATCACAGTAAGTACACCACTTGTATCAACGTCTTTAAATCCTAAAAATATCCATTTCTTCAATCTAGAATTAATAGCGAAGATGGTAAAGATTCATTTGATTTAGATATTCAAACCGGTATGGAAGAGTTTTGGCAAATTTTTCAATTACCATTCGCAAATACACCTGAAACGATTCATTTAGATGAACAAGCGATTAAACAAACAGTAGAAGAATTTTTGTCATTTAATGGTAGGGCTGCTGCTGCTTGTACAACACTTACTAGACCGTTTGCAAGTGATGAAGAAGGTCCTCATGCTGATTTGTTGAAACCTGCAATGAGGTATTTTTGCTTTGGTAGTCCATTCAGCTGATCATTTCTTTATAATCAATTAGCTGCAATCGTACAAAGTTCAAAAAAGGTTGGAACTCAAACTATTTTTGTCTTGATTGTAGATTATGCTTCATCAAATTCAACTCCATTCTTTTGTGATCTTGCAGAGGCTGTGATGTTAATCTTAGGGATTCCTTTTAGAATGAGACTTTTACCACAAATGACAGAAGATCCTGCTGCATCTTATTATCGACTAGAAGAAGCTTATACTCAAAACTTGGCACTTGAACCACTCTTTGAATTATATGAAAGACGAAAGGTTACGTTTTCAAGAGTAATTTGGCTGAAAGGTTTTACTTATCGTGACTTACTAGAGACTTTAAGGATCAGTCTTATGAATCAAGCAACAATGGTCTGTAGTATGGATTGGAAAGAACATGATGTTTTTTTAATTTCCAACAATCGGTAAGTCATTGTACATCGATTCAAATATTTGATTGGTTTTCTGATACCCTCTTTGATTTGGTTTTCACATCACGAGCTGGCGTACACGTGATTTAGACGGAAATCTTTTCAGAGGCTCCAAGTCTACCTCGCCTCTCAGCAAAGCTCCACCTCGTGGTGCAGTCAGTGCATCACGTTGTTTTTCGTGAAATGATCATGCATTATCTTGCGACCTGTAACTGTAGACGTGATCAAGGGCAATCTCTAGTTTTTCAGTAAAGTCCCAATATCACTGCTTACCGTTTTTGGTTCACTCTCTTACTTAGATCTTGTGTGTTGATAATGGACCCTCGCTCGGTTCATCAGAACTTGAGTCTCGTAAGGTTATTCTCACCACTCGCATACGTTATAAGCAATGATTCAGATGATACTTATTCATCTGCATTCACGTCGATCCACGCACGCATTGGGGATAGAAAGTATGTGGTATGTAGCCGTGTTGAATCATTAGAATTAACAAACTCTGATACTGTTTCCATACATAGGCCGCTATGATTTGTTAGGAGATCAAGCAGGTCAAAAGATCAATATTTTCAAAGGAATATCAATAGAAAATCGAAAATATATAGGTATAATTTCAGAAACAATTTGTAAGAGTTATGGAGAATTATCAAGAAAGAAACTTTAGGTAAAGATTTAATTGATCGATATCTGAATGGAACCATCAAATCATTTCTATTACTGAAGATCCTCAAAGCTGGATTGATTGGAACTCTGTACTCAAGTTAAGGATGTTGAAAAAATTTTATTAATGAAAAGTATTGCCGTTTTTTTATTTTTTATGTATTTGGTTTGAGGGTTCTTTGTTTGTTTGAGGATTTATACATCTATGTTTCTTGCAGATGGTTCCTTCTTTTGACTAAGTTTTCTTGTAGATAGAATTATATGAGGTTCGAAATGCATTTGTAAAGAACATTGATTTATTGTTTCCACTTCCTCTGATCCACACACGTCCGTAGAGAATTAATCGTGGCTCTGAGTCTGAGGGTAAAGGTTTGCTTAGTACATAACTGGTTACATATTATTTTTCTTGTTCAATTCATGGTATTGATCAGTCAGATTCAAATGGTCCGGTTGAGAAAGGTGGGA